CGTTGCGGGGCAATCGGTTGTTTCTTTCGTGTACAGCACAGAAAGCGGTTCCGGTCATCTTGAAGCTGTGCAAAGTAGGCCTAGACCTACAGCACCTAGACTCAGCTAGATATTCCACTCGCTCTTCGTACAGCAGCAGTACATGCCCTACCGAACGGCCGGCAGCCCGGTAGCGCGCACATACAAATCGGTGCCCCCGACAACAGTCTACATTGTAGACTAATTGATTGTGCTTTCGGCGGTCCTGACATGTTTTTCTAGCAGCATTCTTCTCCTCCCCTACACACCATGAGTCCCCTGTGCGCGCAGGAACATACTCCACAGAACATACGAGCAGGCGGGCTCTGCAAGCCTGCACAGCTCGGGCTTCAGTATGCAAGCTAGCAGAGCTGAGCTAGCCGAGTACCACCTCCAAACCGTCAAGAACCGCGTGCGCGCCCAAAAAGCACGGCATGCTTTCCGAACCTTCCGGAAACCCTACCCCCGAACCCCCTAAAGATCCTTTCGCACGATTGGTAATCCGACCTCCAGGGAACCTGGAACCTGCATGGAGTGCAGCTGTAGGAGTGGATCGTGGATCCTTCTCGCTTCTCCGCTCCTCTATACCCACGCTCTCTTTCTCTCTTCTCTCTCGGTGTTTCTCTGTTCTATCCCTGATTGTATGTGTAGTGTTGTGAGTGTGTTCCCACCTATGCATACGAAGCGGAAACCAGTGTATGTCGAGTTTTGTCTACACAACAACAACAACAGGCACAGCAGTACCCATCAACATAAGCCCATCAGCCCATCCATCACATCAGTCCATCACGCAAGGCTCTCGTCTCGAATTTTACCAACGGTCGACGGTAGGATCGGCGCCAAAGAGGTTGTGGTCGGCCTGCTAGCCCGCAACGGAGGATGGAGAGAGAGAGAGAGAGAGAGAGAGAGAGAGAATGACGGACAGAGAGACAAATATATACTGTAGGTTGCAAGATACCACAACCGCTGGGCCGATTTAACGATTTTACCCTCCTAGTACCCAGTCCCTCCGCAAACACAAATGCAGGAAAATGTTTGTCAGCCGTTGGTCGAGGGCCTACAGCAGTCCCTCCAAAGGAACTGAGCTCCCTGCCAGACAAAGGGTGACTTGGCTTTAGTATGAAAAAAGTCCCCCAACACACGTGGGGACACTTTTCATGCTGAAGCCAAGTCAGCAATTTTTCCCGGTACCAGGCGATGTTCAATTTTACGACCTAGGGGGTACGCGGGTTGGGAGAAGCCAAGGAGAAGCAACACACAGCATATCACACAGCGTACCACCTCATCCAAAAGTATGATAGGCCAAGGGTTCTCACGAGCGTTGCATTGCACACAGCGGAGCCTTGGGTGATTACTACATTACAGCGGTAATTAGGCATTTCAGTCGTGTATCCCCAAAGCGTCCCCATTTGGGCTTCCACTAATAGGAGGGTTAGCCCTCGATTTCTCGGCAGGAAAAACATTGATGATGCCGAAGATGGCAGCGTGTGTTGGATGCAAAAATAATATACGCGCTAAAAAAAGCGAGAGGGAGAGGGAAGAGACGAGACGAGGCATCATAACTTTTGCCGCATATCTCTTGGAGAAATCAATCGATTTCAAGACAAATTTTGCTTCTGATAGCCGGGAATCATGGGGGGGATGGATGTACAATACTTGTCCTGGATTTAGTCCGGAGAATGATTGGTGCAAACATGTCGCAGAATAATAGAGCAGCAGTGAGAAATCAACAAAACGTTCCCGCAGGTTGGTGTCCCCACCAAGCAAGGCGCCCTCCCTTGTTACAGTACGTTAGCTTTTCTGTTATCGAGCATCCGCACTGACTTTCCCTAGATGGCCTGTCATGAACATGACATACATCCATTCCTGCTGATGACAAATAAAAGGGATGTATGTTGGAAACAGCCAAATAATTGTTTGTGGTATCAAGGTGGTCGTGTACAGCATACCACCAAGAACCGTAAGGTAGAATTCACGAAAGGGTGCATACGCACCCACACACAGGACAGTTGACCATTTCCTCCATTCACGCACCAAAAAGTATTGCTTCACCACCGTTATGCGTCACTGCTGTGTGTGACACTATATCGCATCGATTGGTCCCCAGAGTACGTTTCGTCTGTTTGCTGGTATGCACAGTTTGACATGAATGAGCGCAGGTGGTGCATACTCTACACCAATAATGCATGCCTCCTTCGTTCGTTGCGCCCATTTCCAACACGCGTCGACAGAAGCTCCGGCCAGAGAAAACATGCTGTAGAATCAAGTGAACGGACGCTCGGACCATGCCAAAAAACCTAGCGAGTGATTGCGCAACATATTCGGCAATATGGCTTGTACTTCACACGCGAACGAAAGTGTTGTGCGTGTGTGTTTATACCACCAACTGTCGCTGCTGCCAGAATCCTCCCTCGACGTTCTCTAAATCTATTCCTCCTAGCATGTTTGTAGGGTAGTTGAGCAAACCTCGCCCATACATAGCAAATCAGCTTAATTGCCAACAAGAACATTCATTCATGGGCACTCGCGAGAGCCACAAACACCTGTAACAGGTGGTGATGACGTCAACACTCAACATCCTACCCACTCCCCACGTTCTGCATGCATTCCCTCGGCGGAGGCGGCACACGGGCTGCGGAAGAGACGAACACCGAGCACTATTTCCATGCACAGCAAACACGCCGGTTCCCGCTCGTCTTGGGTGCAAGAGTATTGTACTTTTCCATCCATCCGCCCACCCTGCTCACCCGGCCTCTCCCTATCGCAACATCCTTCCGCCAAGTACGAGTTCGCTGGTTTCCTGCGTGCGGGGCGGACACACGAAGTATAACACATCAGGTCGACATGGTGTACGATTCGAAAGGTAGTGCTGGTCAGCAGCAACGGTAGACATGCATTTATCTTCGGCACGGTCGTACAATATGTAGAACGACAGATGCTACTGTCAGAAAAAACAGGGTAACGGCGGGGCACCGTGAAATCGAAACTGAGAATTAAAATATTTTTTAGGACGTAGTTGCCGGAGCCCCAAGATCCAACGCCCGCGGTCGGTGGGGTTGTGCAAGGGAGCGAGGACAGGATCGCGATACACGGGTTGGATCCTTCGTGGCGGTGAGGCTCAGAGTGTATGTTGCCGGGGTCGTGTGGTCTTTTACGGTGCACATCAGTAAGAAATCACCTCACTTCCTCTTCTCGCGGAAAATCTGGGCGGCAAACCCAGACGTGAAGGCCTGTGCGTTGGAGGTCGAATGGTAAGAGGATTGCGTGTCCCTGTGTCGGCAGTACAAGCATGGACAGAGGTGACAGGTCACAGAAGATGGTGGTACTTGCCTAGTCTTGTTTTGTGGAAAGATCCAAAACGGTATCGACGCGCGTACAGAACGCGCTGTGACAGCGGGAACTTTGCCGCCGTGACAGCAGGATCTTACTTCCTCAGCGGGTAGGCTACCGTATAACCCAGAATGTCGACTATATCTAGGTTCTAGAGGTTTTACGTGAGATACTATGTTCTGATATGGTCAAGTTCCTGTGTTTCTCTTTGTTGGTCTGAAGTTGTTTAGAATACTCCTCCCAGGTTCTTAGTGGTGCGCATTCTGTACAGATATGAAAGTAGGGTATAGCAAGGTTGCTCGAACGGAAGTGCCAATACCGTCTGCCACGCAGCCAGAAGTTGAGCGTCATCGCTGGGCTATTTCACAGCGCCTCTCAGCACAGAGTGATGAACTTTAGGGGGGTGCATCTTTGATTGCACACCCTTCGTCGGGAATGCCTCTTTTCACCGTTCTACTGTAGTGGTACTTCCCTATAAAAATCATAGATACGTGTTCGACTATATCTTGCCATCGAAAAGCTCTGATTTCGATCAGAGCGAGACTTGCATTGCAATCGACTTCAGAGAGATAAACTTTTCCCGAATAGGTCGGAAGAACTGAAGAAGGGCTGTCGTGTTATCTCACAAAACACAGAAATCACGAGGCGAGACGTCAGGGGGGTCTCTGCGGCGAAACCAAGGGCCGAATGCAAGAGAGTGCTTGTTCACCGAGGGACTCCCGAGTCAGGGCTAAACACCCAGACTTAACAGAAGAACGGGATTCCTTGGTCGATGAAGCAGCGCCAACAGCAGGAGCAGCCGTGCCAAGCGGCAGTACCATAGCAGAGGATCGGGACGATAAACTGAAATCGCTGGGCGCCGTGGCTACAGGGACGTTGGCGTCCCCACGAAGGACGTTTCGCTACCTGATGCTCATCTTTGGAGCTTCGGTCTTTTGCATGGCGAGGTAAATATTCAATCAATACAAGTGGTACACCGAGTTGCACTTAGGATGTTTCCCATCCTACGGCGCGTACAACATGCGGCCTTTCGGTGGAAGATAAGCGATGCGTTACCAGTTGAACATATGTTAGTCAACGACACCTTGTCGTCCCATGGATTCGTCCTCATTGTGTTCTCTCACTCTTCGCTATCTTTTCACCGCAGCCTCATC